ATTGTGCTTAATAAAACAGTATATAATGAGCGTAAATCAGCATCAGGGGTTACAGAGTATTTTACTTTTAGAACGCTTTGGTACCATCCAAATCTGCATACTTGACTCAGGTTCAACCAGCAAAAGTACAAAAGGCTTTGCGATTACGATATACTAAATAGCCTGATAAAAAAACAGAGTGGCAAAAATAAAAATGATAAGCCATACACTAGTCAAACAGGTATCATACTGCCCATGAACCGTGAGAATTACTGTTAGATGAGTATCCGCGCCTCCAGGTACAAACATCAAGAAAAAACAGCGGCTGAAATTCAGACCGACAGGATGGATGGCGAAATACCTCCGACTTCAATCACACAATTCAACCTCTCATCTACAACATGGACAGGTAGATTTGCAAAAGAAGAACGGTCGTATATGACGGCCAAGTAATGACACTAATAGTATATTTCCCCTAAGTGACACGGTAGCGAAAAAGGTGCTGCAACGTGGCTGATCAATAATGCAATAATAATATGGGTGAGAGGCCACTCCGTCTTTAAGGCAAATCCACAAAGCACAGAAACTGGGAAAGGAAACTGTATGGGAAAAGTAACAGCGCAACTTTGCCTCTGATGTCCACCACCTGAAAGAACGTCGTCTCCGCCTTGCAGAAGTCCATGAAAAGCAAGACGTGTCTGCAACAACAGACTGGTGGATTTTTGATGGCAAGTCACTGAGCGACCGGGTAGATGCTATTCGGTGTGTATAACGAATGCTGCCGTTTTCCTGAAATCATAGTCGACCAAAAGTTCGTGAAAAACCTTAAAAAACATTTACGTCTGACTGAGAGAGCCTACCACGTTTGTGAAACTGCATTACACAAGTGCCTTTGGCAGCACACCCGTAATGAAATCCAGGGCATCGACAAGCTACATTTCGAGGATTTATTTAATCAGTAAAAGCCGCAGGAACATTGAACAGCAATGTGTCTTGCAGAGTGGATACAAAATTCATGTTGGCAACCCAGTGATGACTTCGATGGCTTAAATAAATATATGCCTCATTTGACTGTGATTTTGCAGAGGAGCTCCCTTGTTACAGGGATGTGGTAACTACTACTATTCCATATACTTCAACAGCGTTCGATGAATTACAACTGAAGCGTATTCTTGAACAGCGCACTTGAGTCAGATGGAATCATGGTTAAAGTGCCAGTGATGTGTAGAACTGAAGAGAGTGGCCTGATGTGAAAAACAGTTAACAACTGCCTGCGTTTTGAAGGCCATTCCACATGGCTGGGCAGACATCTAAAATTACTTCTCTTCCAAAGACGGCTGCTGTAAACAAATTAGAGGACTTTCGACCAATCGATTTGACCTCTGACTAATGTACTGAACACAGTCATTAGACTGGTGCTTCTCAGACAGATTAAAGGAGCGAATGACAGCTAAAATTCGCTTTTACGTCATTCTAGGCCATTCTTCATTCGCTAACCCTGTTGTAAGTGCTTGCTAGTTTCGGCATTCGACTATAGCAACACCGTTGTGAAGGCCGTCTTCTTAGACCTCTCAGCAACGTTCAACCTCGTGGAAAGAGTTGGCATTATCTGCCGTCTGCAAAAAGCAGCCACATAGAAGAGCCTCATTCACTGGTTGGCAGATCATTTCTCTGACCGGCAACAGTTCTTCGCAGTTGGAAAGCGCAGTTCATCGACTACGAGGAACAACCTAGGTGTTCTGCAAGATTCAGTGCCATACTCCTATGTTCTTTAACTTAATGTGAGTGCGTTAAGCACCGTCAGCATTGTCTTCTGTCTAAGTACGCCGATGACACAGTTCTTATTCCCAAACTCGAAGGAAACCGGATTTGCACAGGCCTATAAAACGCAGTTATATACACGAGGCAGTGGATTAGGAACAATCGCTTAACATTTAACCGTCAGGAAAGTGTTCAACTAAGCTGATGGATGAAGAACATCAGATAATCTAGTCCATGCTCTTTCATCGAGCATCGTATCAATTTAGGAGGGTCAATAACGGCCTACGACACCACAAAATATCCTGGGACCATACCAAGGATCTCAGTGTTCGAAAAGGTTGTCGGGACAACTTACTACCTTTGGAGGGCATTTAGGAGGCCTATGTCACCACCTACTAAAGTAATACACTTCCTGTTATCGGATGCATTGTACTGCTGATCATCTATTCCAGCCTACGTATATTATCTGAGTCAATCACGAAAGACTTCAGATTACTGTGTCAAGCCGTAATGTCAATTGCT